TCAGAATAGACAGTATTTCATAGTGAAATAATGTCATGGACAGAATTTCATTGTGAAATATTGTCTATTCTGACATTATTTCATGGTGAAATTCTGTCCATGACAATATTTCACTGTGAAATACTGTCCATGAAAATATTTCTTATTAATCAAATTATTACAAACATTAGAAATAGTACACAAGCATGCAGCATGCACATTTTTAGATTTATAACTGAAATCATTTTGTAAGGTAAGTATTTTATATTTCAAATTAATATCTATTTTAAGATAAGCTAGTTTCAAATTTGCATAGATACTTTATAAATGATTAATCATAGATGAAAGAATTGTCAAATGTATGTTCCATTGTACTACATTACCGGTATACTGTATGAATATAAGTAATGTACTGACAATCACTTATTTATGTTCAAATTGAATGTACTAATAGTATTTGTAAATACAAGATTGACGAATCTTTTTTGCAAAGGCGTTTTGGAGGTACAGCAGTACAATGTAACTGGAATATTAATTTGTGTTTATATGTTATTATCAGTCAAATAAAATATCATTATCCAACATGATATATGTTGATAACCTCCCCTTCATGAGACCAAATTTCATGACAATTTGTCTATGAAATATTGTTTCAATACATACAAAATATAACCTCCCTTTAACAGGACAAAATTTCATAGTATTCATCTGTGAAATATTGTCTATATACAGACAAAATTTCACAATGAAAATTTGTCCTTCTCTGGACATTTTTTCATAGATGAGGACAATATTTCATGATGCATAGTCATGAAATATTGTCTTGGAGGACAATACTTCATAGGACAATATTTTGCTTTACATATCCACCCATTGTAATTCAAAGTAATTTCGTAATTTCTCATAAAATTACTTTATCCTGCAATCAACCTTTCTACTTTACAATATGGGTGTACAGTTAACATGAAGCGATAAATATATATAGAAGACGTTTATAGTCTCCTGGTATCCTGCATCTGTTGTGAGCTAACGGTGATATTAAAAAAAACGTTTCAAATTACTATTTACGTCACAACTCAATTTGAGGTCCTCATTGTGATCCACATTTATTAATTCAGGTTGATTTTATTAAAAAAGGCTCGTCTAGTTCGTAAAGTTGAACTGTTGGGAAATAAATTTTAAAAATTTCATAGCTGACTAAGTGGTATGGGTTTTGCTCATTGTTAAATGCCGTCCATCGTTGTCATCTGTTAAGTTTTACAAAAATCTTCTCCTCTGAAACTACTGGGCCAAATTTAACCAAACTTGGCCACAATCATCATTGAGCTATCTAGTTTAAATTATGTGTCCAATGATCCTGCCCGCCAACCAAGATGGCCGACATGGCTAAAAATTGAATGTATGGTAAAATGCAAGTTTTGTCTATTATTTTGAAAACCGTTATAAATAAAGAAAATCTGACAGAGCAAAAATGTTCAGAATGTTCAGCTTTACCTATTGTTCATTTACGTCAAAACTGTCAGACGATTTCTTAAAGAAGTTATTGCCCTTAAATGACAAATTTTACCATTTTTTTTCATTTTTGTCTTTTATCTTGAAAACTATAATTGATAGAGACAAACTTTGAAATGCAAAAATGATCAGCAAGACAAGATCTACAATTAATACAATATGGTGGTTATCGTCTGATGACTCCTTATTAGAGTTATTGCCCTTTTTTGTGTTGTACTTTATATGGTAAAAATTATAATAAATTTATAGAAACTTAAATAAGAAAATTAATTAGCAAGACAAGATCTACTAACAAGTCAAATTTTGCCGATAGAGTTAATAGACTGTCACTCTTTATAGGAGTGATTGCCCTTAAATGAAGATTTTTTCTACCCTCTTTTGTGTTTTGAGCAAAAACTAAAGAAGATAGAGAGAAACTAAACAGACTAAATGATCAGCAATACAAGATCAACAAAACAGAGATTTTTGTCATGAATTCTATTCTCGCCTACAATGTTGGAGTGTGTCATTTGTTGAATATGCATATAGACCAAGGTGAGCCTCTAGTTATATTTTAAGCGTAAATTTCAAACTGTAGGATTAAAACAATATTGGTACATTGTAGGAAAATATATGATTTGTTTCAACTCTCTGAAAAACAAGAGAAAAGCTCGATAAGCCTTGCTTTTCTTGCTGTTTCTAAAGCTGGAACAAATAAATTTGATAATTTCCTACAATGTTCAAATATTGTCTATGTATCCTGATATGGCCATTGATATTTCAATATCTTTAACAGACGATAATACACTGTTCAATGCAAATATATATCATCTGTTGTAATTTGGTTAAAAGCTCAATAGAGCTTATGTTATGTCTTTGTTTTCTAAACTGTGCAGTCTTTATAATAAAACTTATTTGTTGTATCCTACAGGGCTTTATAGTCATAATAGACAGGTGGAAGGACCTTTGATTGAGTTGTTAAATGTGCAGGAATTCAGGATTTATGATTACATTGTATCATGTGTAAACAGACTCATTATTTTCACAGGAATTCAGCATTTTCTATTTATTTTCTCAGGAATTCGGGATGACACCCTTCTTACCCCCTCTTTATAGTAGTAGGCAGGTGCTGCCTAATGAGCTCCCAAGGGTCATTTTTTAACAAACAATATTAAAGTCAGACTGTTTCCCTGTATAAACCAGTCAAAACCGTTTTGAAAAATGAAATTATTAGCCTACCTACCTACCCCAATTTTTTATTCAGCATGCTAGAGGAAAAACCAGTATTATTTTTTCACCAAAACACTTACCCTACTTGTAAACATAACCATGACCTAAAATTCATTCTCAACTAAGGTACACATGGTAAATGAAGGCTGAATTTTTTTTTCCACATAGTACCCTGATAAGTGAATAATCCCCATAAAAATAACATAATTGGTTTATGATATATTATTATTGCTAAATTTCCCTGTCAGAACTTGATGCATTAATATTTTTAAATTTTACTTAACAATATTGTTCAGAAGGAAAAAAGAAACTATTGATGAAATTGCTTTTTTTTTTTGTGTGTGTTAACTCAGCCAATTCCATTTTAGTTCACCTGACTTTGGGGTTAAGAAAGCTATTCTCTTCATTTCACATCCATTTTCAAAATCTGCTCCTTTGTAACTACTAGATCAATTTGAACTAAACTTGTCCACAATCATCAGTTGGCTATCTAGATAAGAAAGAATCCTGCCTACCTAACAACATGGCTGAAATGCAAGTTTGTTTATTGTTTTGAAAACTGCTATAGATAGAGGAAATCTGACACAGGCAGAAATGTTCAGAATGTTTAGTACTGTCAGATGACACCTTGTAGGAGTTATTGGCCTTCTGTGACAAATTTTACCTATTTTTATTTATTGAAAACTATACTAGATAAATGAGAAACTTTGAATATCAAAGTGATTAGCTGGACAAGATCTTCAAATTTGTCTGCATGACTGAAAACATAGGTCAACTCCTGGGAGTTGCCCTATAAATGACAATGTCTGCCAATTTTTGTATTTTTGGTCAAAAATAAAGCAGATAAACAAAAACTAATCAGAAAACAATGTCAATAGAACAAGATCTACAAATTTATCAAGTTAACTGAGTTTGTCAGTCAACTTCTTATAGAAGTTATTGCCCTTTAATGAATTTTACCCAATTTTCATGTATTATGCAGCGACTATAATAGATGAAGCAAAACTGATGAGTAAGACAAGATAAACAAATGAGTCATCACTGCCCAAATTATAAGTTAACTCATGAAGACAGTAATTGGCTTTAGATGACAATTTTTACCTTTTTTTATGTTGGGCAAAAACTATAGAAAATAAAGACAAACTGCTTACAGTAAAAATGATCAGCTAGACAAAATCTTCAAATATGGTCAACAAAGCTGAAACTGAAAATTCACTTCTTATTGCCTTTGAATGACAATTTTTACCATTTTTTGGGGGTATTTTAGGCAAAACTATAGTAAATGGAGAGAAAATGAAAATAGAAAGAAGGATTATCAAAACAAGATCAACAAAAAAGACATCTTAAATATGAATTAATTTGGAGATCTGTGACCATTGAAAACTAGAATAAAATTCATGAGTCTGATGATCCAGCCTGCCATCCCACATTGCCATTAAGGTAGTCAGTGATAAAATGCAAGTAGTGTAAAACATTGTGAAAATAATATAGATAGAGGAAATGTATCAAGGCAGAAATACTCAGAATGCCAAGATTTTATCAGTTTTGACCATCAAACATGCTTATTTTCCGCAAATTTTGGATGCTTATCATTAACAACTTTGTAAAAAAAATGGGTTACATTTGGATGCTAAAATTATTATCAGCCTTTGCTGCTGTATTTTGTATGCCACTTAAGCAATTTTAGAGGAAGTTGTGGTACAAGAACATTGAAAATTACTTGAAAATATCAGTTTTTTTAGTATGTAAAACTGGTTTAAGTTTACCTCCATCACATTTCGTGCCTGTACCATGGGTTGATCCTTTTTTTTTTCATCTTTGTTTTTGTGTAATTTTAAATCAGAGAAGTTGGTGTTAATTTTTGGTGGTGTCTGCCTCTCCAATATTTTATGGTAATTCCTATTATCCTTGTGTATTTTGATTAAATTCATGAATGAATGAATGAATGTTGTAAAATGCTGTAGGAATATAACTTTAATCCTCTATCAAGGTAGTACGGGGATATAAACAAAAATGAAATCATCATGCTTTTTTTCTCTGCTGTAGTACAAAATATAAACAAATTTACAGTACATTCCTATTATAAAAAAAAGGAATAATCTGAGTGATCTTCCCTTATAAGGTCAAGTTTAAATCAAATTTCTATAAAAAAAAAGATAGTCTGTATTTGTAACACAGTCATAATAATAGGATTAAGTCTGACATCTGAAACTGACAGTAACTTGTTAAAATAGCATTTAAAATCTTAACTTAAGATATTTCTGTGTTTTGATTTCTAAATTTTTCTTCTTCAGATAATAAGACAGTCTAAAGCTATAATGTCTAGCACCAAATTAGAATTAAATGCTTTAAACAAGTCAGATGATATAACCTTGTATCATGACAATTTTACTGCTGAAAAGGCTTCACAAAACAATGGAACTCAAGATTCATTAAAGTATGAGAATAATTCAGACATGTCATCACAACAAAGTTCAGATTTGCATTGTCAGACTCTAGATAAGGAAGAAACAAAACAAAATAACAAGGGACAGTTATTCAAATTAATGACATCAGGAGAAATTAGTGACAAATTCAATGAAAAACAATTTGAGGAAACAAAAGAAAAAACAGGCTTCTTTTCAAATGAAACATCAAAAGAATCAAAACCTCCAGTAGTTTTATTTACAGAAATACAGAAAAATGAAAATAAGAATTCCTTTGGTAAATCAGACACTGAATCAAGAAATGATTTAACTGAACATGATTATCCAATACACACAACAGAAAATAATGATCAAATTATAAAACAAGCAGAGTCATTACATGAAACATTATTATTACCTAATTTAGATGGACAGTATATTAAACCAGAAAGGAGTCAAATAGTTGATGGTCCACAAGTGCATTTTGCCTCTCCATTATTTGTCTATCATGAATACACCATAAGTGAATGTTCCAGTAGAACTGAGACCATGGATTCTGACAGTAGTATGGAGATTCCAGAATTAGAAATCAGATCTGATGAATCATGTACAGAAAACAAAAGAAGGGACATAAATAATGCTCCTATAACAGTATTAGAAGAATCTATGGAACTTAGTACAATTACTCATAAATCTGAGGAAATAAGTGACACTTCTATGAAAGTGTCTGAAGATGATGTTCACTCTGCTATGTGTAGTGATAAATTTGAGAATAAGAGTACAGGTAACACTTCTGTAACAATATCTAAACATACTGTTATGCCTTTAATATATAGCGATAAGTTGTCAAAAGGACGTGTACAAGTTGTTCCAATATCTTCATGTGAAAACCAGATGGTCAATGACTCTGAATGTCTCAATCTCTCCAACGATTCTTCCCAGGAAGACAAAATTATTTCAGAAGTAAGAAATATTTTAGAAAATCTAATTGTTCAGTGTTGTGACATAAACGATGAATTTTACAAAAATGATTTTGAAGTCAAATGTACAACTGAACCAAACTGTACACTTGCCATGCTCGATGTATCATTTGAAGAAAATGGACTCTCACAATTTTCACAATACGAGAAAAAAGAATTGGAGACATTTTCTGACTTAAATGGCCAAGAGACTAGACAAGTAATAGCCAAAGATTTTACCAAGTTTGATATTGATGAATTGGATGAAACTATACTTTTGAATTCCAACCAACAGCAATCATCAGATGATATTAACTTTGAAAACTCTGTATTAGAAGAACTATCATCTACAGCAAACTGTAAGTTAGTGGTGATAGAATTGAAACCTTCTGTCAATTCAGAAACTGAAAATAACATATCTCAAATGGGTGATTTGGCAAACATTTCAAACATACCAAACTACAGTGATAAAGCCAAGATTTTGAAGGAAGAAAATGAAGAAAAAGTTAATAAGATTTTGTCTCCAAAATGTCTTCAATCAATGTGTAAAATTGAAGAATCAGAAATTGAAATGAGTTCCTGTGATAATCAAGTAACATCTACAAGTTCACATTCACAGCAACATGATGAGGAGCAATCTAATTCACAATTTCAAGTATTTGATAGTGAAAATGAAAGTACTGAATCACAAACTGAAATGAACGAATCTTGCGTTCATATGGAAAAAATAAAACCATTAAATCGATTAAATGACAAGACAAACAGCCAAAAATACATTTTACATGAAAATCTTGATATATCAGAAAGAGAAGCAAGTGTGGATCAGTGCATTATCAATTTTGATAATCCAAGAAAAGGAGATGGAGATTTAAATAACAACAAGAGTGATGTACAAGAACTGTGTACAGAAGCACAAAAAGAAGGAGATAATTGTTATAGCATTAGTATCAAAGAAGTTGAGCAAAGTAATAATGTTACAATGGAAATTGCTGATGCAAGTGAAAGTTTGAAGATAGATCATGAACAGACATGTAATGGAAATGATGAACATTTGGATCAAAAACAAAATATTCTAAAAGAATTTCCAGTTGATTTTACAGACAGAAAGCAAAAATCAGATTTAATTGATGATGTCAGAGTGGATGACACAACAAGCATTGAAATATCGACAAATGTTTTGAAGAATTACATTTTGGATAAAGACCAAGAAAGTAATGTACCTATTACAGAAATTGATATTGAATTCAATGATTTATCTAATTCTAAGAACCAACAGCAGGAATTTAATCCATGTTTTGAAAGCTCTGAATCAATAGTAATTAACAAACAATTAGATTTGCACTTAAATGCAGTCATGGAGGATGCCAACTTACAAGTGCAAGAAAGCTCTAGTATCAATCAAAATGATGAGGAGAGTCTTATTAAAGTAAAGGAAAATCATTTATCTTTAAATTATCTCCAAAATAGCCTGACTAAAGGTAGATTAGACAGAAAGAGATCTGTAAAGGAGACAGGAATTGAAGATGAAAAACCATCAGCAAAAGTGTCAGTATATCATTCCATATCTGAAGGGCTTGATCAGTATAAATATGCTGAAGTCAGATTAGTGGACAAAGAGGGAATACAGCATGAGGATGGGACATTACCTGAATCTGTTGATATTAAAATTACTGAAGAATTACATTACAATGATAAAATAAAGGAATGTTGTGCTAAAGAACAAATGGATCAGACAGTGCCTGATGAAAGTGACTGTGGTATAAAGCTGGCAACAGAAACACTTTATTCTCAACATATGGGTAAGATTAATCTTTTCTTTATAATATTTTACTTATTGTAAAAAATATATAATGCTGTACCTACTAAATTTTTTTAGTTCTTTTTTCATAAGACAAATTGATAGATGTTGTGCATGCTTATGACAAATTCAGTCTTCACAATTAACCACAAGCCAGGAATGTAATAATGTTTTTGTGTCAGTGAAATTTTCCTGAAACGAGGTCTGACAAGCCATATGATTTAAAGAAATTTCTTGAAAGAATAGTTTTCCTGCTTTTAAGTTAAAAAGTTTTTCATGAAGTTTCATGTCAAGGGAGGTAAATCTGTTGATCCAGTTTCAACATTTTTAAAATGTTTGCATCATTATTGAGAATTTAGTGTACTTTGAGAAATGAAGTATATAAGTCATGAAACAGCTTTTAATCTGTTGTATAGGTTGCATAACTATGTTGATTATATGTATTAGTATATTTCAGCTCTTAAGAATTGAATCTTTATATCTTTAGATAAAAAGGAGGACACTGACATATGTACTCTGGAAATGAAGGGAGATGACATCAGTATTTTACCAGAGATGTCAGGGGATTATATTTGCAGAGAAAAATATGGTATGACACCTAAGCCTTTTGAGCTCAACTAATTGAAAAGATTATAATTTGTATAAGCTTTAGAAGTTTTCTGAACAATTGGTCTCTTGTCGTATATGTTTGTTGTATAATTTTGCAAAAATCGCAAAAATGATCAGCAAGGCAAGAACTATTAAAAAGGTTAAATTTTGCCGATATAGTTAGTAGACTGTCACTCTTCATAGGAGTGATTGCCCTTAAATGAGGATTTTTTTTACCCTCTTTTGTGTTTTGAGCAAAAACTAAAGAAGATAGAGAGAAACTAAACAGACTAAAAGATCAGTAATGCAAGATCAACAAATAGAGATTTTTGTCATGAAGTCTATTCTCGTCTACAATGTTGGAGAGTGTCCTTTGTTTGATATGCACATAGACCAAGGTGAACGACACAGGCTCTTTAGAACCTCTAGTTTATAAAATATTTGCTCTTTTTGGAGATAGTTGAACTTTGTCATTTTTGGAGTATATACTTGCATAAGAGGTGAATAGTGTTTCCGGATAACTCCTCCTACAGTGAACCATAGACCTTTGTGCTCCCATGCTCAACTTCGTGTATTTTAAAATAACACTTTGCATCTACGGGGGCATCATTTGTGTCTCCCAGACACAATAATATCTCAAAGAAAGTCCTTCATTGACTTTGTTATAGTACAGTTACCTCAAAGTTTGCTCTACAGGAGTTATGGCACTTGGTTGCTTTAACAATGACAGATGTTTATAAATGTAAGAAAAACCTGGGTTTCTTTCAGTTTAATAACTATAGTGTAGACAAACAGAAGTGTAAACATTAAAAATGACCAGCAAGACCAGATGTACATGAAGGTTAAATATGATTAATTCTGTTTCTCAGATACTATAAGCAGTAGGTCAACTATATTTGGTGTATGGAATGATTGTTTTATCTGACCTTAACCTCATTTTCATGGTTCATTTGTCAATGTTAAGTTTTCATGGTTTGGTCTCTTTCTTGGATACTATAAGCAATAGGTTAATTAAAGTTGGTGTATGGAATGATTATAAGGTTAATATGTCTGTCTGGCAGGGCTTATAGGACCGTGATTTCATTGTTGTGGAGCATTGATAATGTTGGGTAAATCCAGAAAAGGAAATTTATAAAGTGTTATTTTCATTTGTTTAAGTTTTTGTGATACTTGTTAGAAAACCTTTGATTTCACCTTTAGACGTTAGGCTTACAAAGTAAAATTAATCATAGTCAGTGAAGCAGGCAAGATATTTCAGCATGTGCACTCTTGTTTACAAATAAATGTTATAATTTTTCAGATTTTGTTGACAACTCAATGGTTCAGGCTTTTAAGTGGAAGTATGTACCTTCTATAGACCTAGACTCAGTTGTACCTAACTGTGATGGAGAAAATGAAGGTATGTGAATATTTCATCCAGGATTACCATCTTTTTGGGGCAACTTTTTATGCCCCACCTACGATAGAAGAGGGGCATTATGTTTTTCGGTCTGTGCGTCCGTTCGTTCGTTCGTCTGTTTGTCCCACTTCAGGTTAAATTTTTGGTCAAGGTAGTTTTTGATGATGTTGAAGTCCAATCAACTTGAAACTTAGTACCCATGTTCCCTATGATATGATCTTTCTAATTTTAATGCCAAATTAGAGTTTTGACACCAATTTCACGGTCCACTGAACATAGAAAATGATAGTGCGAGTGGGGCATCCGTGTACTATGGCCACATTCTTGTTTCCTTTATTTCAAATTTATTTTTTCAATTTCTATGCTGCTGTGGGGCCAATCTGAATTACCAGTAGACTGGTGCAGGAGACTGTTATAAGATGTATAGAACTATATGTCCTCATTCTACGAGTCCTAACATATAAGGAAATTCACTTATATGATCTCATCTTGATACAAAAAAATCCTGTAGGCTGTAATGGTCTAATTATGAATAGTTAAAATGCCTTTAAATTTAAATTGGTTGTTGGATTTACAGTTTTATTTAAAAAGGAAAGGTAATTTTCTATAGGATCTGATATGCATTTCTTATAGTTCATTAACATACAGTCTTCATGAAAAATTTTCAGATCACAAGCCAACTAGGCCTGTCGTGCCTGAAAAAACCATAAGCCCTGATTTTAATTTACAGGCCCAAAAAATATTGAAGAATTTTAGGGCTTTTGAAATATGATTGTCAAAATAAATAAGACAATATTTAACATTTATTCTCTCTATGGTGCATGGCTATGCATGTGCATTTCTAAATTTTAAAGCCAAACAATCATACTCTTGATTTCATTAACCTATCGTAACATTGTTGAGCCTCTGATTTTTTTTCATTGATTTTAGGTTTGTATTTTCCAGTGTAGTACAGATAAACCTTGCTTGTGTCATGCTGCGTAACTGCATCTTTTTGAAATCAGAACCAGTTACAAATTTGCAATCACTAACATTACTTTCTTTACACCAAAGACAAAACATTTTGTCAGCATCACTGTCATGAAATAGCCATGGGCACCTATTTGTCCACGTAGTTTAAAATTTTCTTGTCCTTTTTCTTCTCATACTTCCACCTAGTGTCTTCAATCTACATTGCTGATCGTTAAGCCACCTGCAATGAAAGTTACGGAAGGCAAGACATGTGTTGCTTTTCTGACTGCATCAACAATTGTTCAGTTTTCTGCTTTTCTGACTGCATCAACAATTGTTCAGTTTTCTGCTTTAATCAGTTTTATTAGAACTACTTGTGATGCCAATGATATTTTCTATTAAGTTGCAATACTACCTTTACATATCAGTTTGAAGACTTTTTTTAGGACATGCCCCCTATGTCATGGTCCAGCGGCTTTCTATTTGTAAGCAATTTTTCAATGTTAAGTTTTCTGTGTAAGTTAGTTTGATAGGATCTACTTGTGATAGATCAATGATATTTTCTATAAATGGTTATAGTTTGTTCTTATGTTTTGCTGTAACACCACTGTCCCAGGTTAGGGGAGAGTTGAGCGCTCACAAACATGTTTAACCCTGCCACATTCTTTATGTGCCTGGCCTAAATCAGGCGCCTGTAGTTCAGTGGTTGTCATTGGTTCATGTCTGTCATATTTGTTTTTCGTAAATTGTTTTGTTTTAAGTTAGGCTGTTAGTTTTCTCAATATAATTGTTTCATATTTTTCATGTCTGGGCCTTTTATAGCCGACTATACTGTATGGGTTTTTGTCGAGCCTGCGACTTTCGTCGCAGAAAGCTCGACATAGGGATAGTGATCCGGCGGCGGCGTTAGCTAACTTCTTAAAAGCTTTGTATTTTAGAAGGTGGAAGGCCTGGATGCTTCATACTTTGTATATAGATGCCTTATGTTACGAAGTTTCTGTCTGTCACATGTCCATTGTCCATGACCTCATTTTCATGGTTCAGTGACTACTTGGAAAAAAAGTAAAGATTTTTTTGTAATGTTAATTTCTCTCTTATAATGAGTAATAGGATAACTATATTTGGTATGTGCGTACCTTGCATGGTCCTCATGCCCGTCAGACAGTTTTCACTTGACCTCGACCTCATTTCATGGATCAGTGAACAGGTTAAATTTTGGTGGTCAAGTCCATATCTCAGATACTAGAAGAATAGGTCTAGCATATTCGGTGTATGGGAGGACTGTAAGGTGTACATGTCCAGCTGGCAGGTGTCATCTGACCTTAACCTCATTTTCATGGTTCAATGGTTATAGTTAAGTTTTTGTGTTTTGGTCTGTTTTTCTTATACTGTATGCAATAGGTCTACTTTATTTGGTGTATGGAATGATTGTAAGGTGTACATGTCTAGCTGGCAGGTGTCTTCTGACCTTGACCTCATTTTCTTGGTTCAGTGGTCAATGTTAAATTTTTGAGTTAAAATATATATAAATTAGTGGTTTTAAAAGCGTCTGGAACCAAACAAAATTTTTTTAAACCCATCTTGCCGGAAACCAGCCATTAACGGCAAAATCTTAAAATATGCAGTGGCATCCTGGCCAAACCTTCGCTTCACATCAGTTTGCTATTTCTTGTTTTCAATTGAACTAAAAAGAAAAAAACACACAAATAGATACTTATTTTAACCAAGCCTGTCGGGCTCCTGGTTTTGACATTTGAATTATTGAGATGTTTACATTTTATGGCTTCTTGTTAAAATTAAATTGTATAAAATGATATCTATAATTTCATTTTCTTTTTTAGCTAATCCATTATTACCAGCACCTATAAAGACATGTAAAAAGCCATACAGACTGGGTTTATCAAAAAGACAGAAACTTAGCAGCTTACATCCTAAACTCAAAAGAGTATGAAAAAATGTTCCATAGAAATCAAATTTGTATCATGATTTAAACTTTTTATATTCGTTTTTGCTATACTGTGACTATAGGTTAGTCTTTTTTTTTTTTTTACTTTATTAATTATTTCAAAAGATAAAAAACACTTTTGTATAATATAATATACAAAAAAATTAGCTAATTTTTGTATTTGATATTTACCTTTATTATTACTCTAAAGAGATTAAACCTTTTTGATTAATTTATAATAATTTTCTTGTTGGGTGTTATATGCTTTTTTAAGGATCAGAAAAAATGAACATATTTGACATAAATAATATTTACTGTAACTCATGTTTATTGTTTCTAGTCTAAATACAATAAGTATTTGTTTGTTCTGGACAAGGCACTTGGAATTCTGTTCAGACATAATGTTTCTTTTTTAATTTAATGAATGCACTTAAAAGTTTTCCCATATATGGCAGTATCAAGAGTAGTTAATGAAATTTCCATGTTTAATTTTTTGCTACAGTCTATTCAGGAAGAGATATTGATACGTTGGTTTATTTCTTAGTCCAGCATAATCAGTATCCAATTAGCAGAGTTCATGTTTTCAAATGAAAATAAAAAATCTTGTATGCCAATGCTATAGGGTATGAAGTTTCTTGCATCCATGAGTCAGTTTCACAGTCAGATCAAGTGAAAAATGTAAAGTGTCATTATTTGTCAGAAAGGGACATCTGACCATCAGCATTTATGAAGTTATTGTGATTATTGGAAGATTTTAGTGTCACTGCTTCATGGCTACTATAAGTAAAATGAAATTAAAAAAAAACCTTTTCTGTCAGACAGTGGACACCTGACCTTTGCCTAATCTTTATATCTTTCATTAAACAGTGTTAAAATTGTCATGTTACATTTAGTAGTTCTTGATTTCATAGTCATTCTATACATAAAGTCCTTTCTATAAGTCCTGATCAATAAGCAGATGAGACATTACCGTATGCCAATTCATTTTTACATGTTCCTTCTCTTTCCATTTCTTTCTATTTATTGAAATTTATTGACTTTTATTAGATCCTTTAAAAAAACACTTAATAAAATTTTAAGAAAAAGTAACCTGTGATCTATGACTGTGATATAGTTGATTTCTGTTGTTGAATTGTTAATGATAGTTAAATTTAATGTTTTTGTTCAAGTTTATTCATGACAATATTGTTTCTTATGTAACCTGCCATTTTTCGTATCTAAGAAAGCTTATTCAGTGTTGTTAACTTTATAGCGTCATTAAAAGAATCTAAAGTAAATCTATAAAGCAAATACTTTTTGACCTAATATTGCTTCTAAATAGCATTTTTTTAAATATTTTCACCAGAGTTATCGTTCACATTACATCATTTAAAATGGCAGGACAAGAACATATTGCTCATCTAGGCATAGCTGTGATATTGTAATATAGAGAATTGTTCAAGTTTTTTTCCATCTTTTTGTTAATAATTCAGTGTTTGTTTAAATTTAATGTATAACTTACATGTTGTAACTTAGTTATAGGTTTGTAATACTCATAAGATAATGATTATGAGCTTTTTCAACAATAAGATTTTGCATTCTTGTAAGATCTATACTTTTAGTCAGTCTAAGTAGAAATGCAAAACATGGGAGTTAACTCTATCAACTTTTTATGGAGGATATTTATGTTATTTATTTAAACCTTAATGATACAGATAGTGGAATTGTGCAAATGTTCATCTTGGAAAAACCTGCAGGGACTTATTTTGGATGTCAGATCAGATTGCTGCAGATAACATTGGTGAAATAGAAAATTATAGGACTGTAACAAGTTGAATTGAAACCATCTGTCCATCCTTTAAAATCACATTTGGTGATTGCTGAATGAGCAATTCTGGCCAATTGGAGCCTTTAGTATAAGCATTTGAATTTGATAACAGAGAAAAAAAAATAGAAATGAACAAAGCAAATTTACAAGATTCTTTTTTTATGAATAACAAGGCTTACAAAGCAAGTATTTTCAATGGTTGACCCCAATGTTGTTATTTGTTTTGTTTAATAAAAATCCTGTACAGTTGCTTCACTTTGTTTTGCCTTTTATTGCCATAATGCTGTACTCCCAAAACAATTCCTGCATCTACCCAGCATACCTCTTTTTTTTTTCGAATGTTGCTCACACTAGGCATTATTCATCACTAGGTAAATTGAAACCAATTCTGGCCAGTTATCATTAGATGTGAAAAAAGGAGATGAAGGGTATATGTGAGACTGTCACCCAAGAACACTTTAATGTTGCTTAAAGAACCATGAAATGAGGTAAAGGCTGGATGCCCCCTGTCAGGTGGACATGAAAATCTTACAATAATGTTCTATAAACATAATTTAGTTAATGTGTTACTCCATGAAAAATGACATATTATTGACTGAAAGCAAACCCACAATATTGATCAATGAATCATGAAGATATGGTGATAGTCCCAGTACCCCTGTCAAAAACATGCACATAATGCTACAAATCAAATGTAGTTAACATTTTACTCCAAGAGAAACTTAAGGTCAAGTTGAGGTGACCCATGTCGAACTAAAATGCACACTTGACAATAAGTCTCTACTCACTCTTTAGCCATGTGTAGTTTATCTACTACTCAAAGTTGGCCAGTGTAAGTTCACGAACACTCAACAGCCCTTGTTATATAAAAATTAGGATATGTGGTATGATTATCAATGAGACAACTATCCACCAGAGATAAAATGAAGTGGTAGTAAGCAATTATAGGCCACTGTAATGTATATACTTGTAAATAATCACATATTTATAAGAGAGAAAAAAGTTTTTCAAATGCTTAAATATTAATCCTTTAAGATTCACTGATAGCAAAGATGTCAAATGGAGGAATATTTAGTGCAGCAATTTTGTCATGTTTTGGTAGTGGGTTATAAATCATTAAAGCAATATCCACATTCGATTGCACAGTTCTTAATCAATATTTTATATCAAAACATTCTACATGAAAAATGATGCAAGTAAAAAACAAAAATGTTCGAAAAAGTAAGATTTACAAAAAAAGTTAATATGAACAAAACAAAACTGTCAATTGACCCCTTAAGGAGTTATTGCCCTTTAAAGATAATTTCACACAATTTGTTCATCATGTTTGCTAACATTTAAAAATCTTCTCTGAAACTACTGGGCTAATACTGAATGTTCCTTAGGGTAACTGGTTTATAAATTGTATCCGAAGTTTTGATCCATTAACAAACATGGCCGCCATGGCTAAAATAGAACATAGGGGTCTAATGCAGATTATCTCAAAAACTATAGCAGTTGAAGCAAAAGTGACAGGAGTTAAAGTGATGAATAAGTCAAGATCTATCTGCTATGAAATTTTCAGACCAATAGGACAACCCATTGTAGGGTTACTGTCCGAAATAGTTTATTTTTTATGAAATTTTACTGTTTTTGGTTATTATCTTTAATATTATAATAGATAGAGAGAAAGTGTAAATAGCAAAAATGTTCAGCTAAGTAGGATCTACAAATAAGTCAAATGATCAAAATAGTCAATTGCCTCCTTAAGGAGTAATTGCCCTTGAAACGTTTATTTTTTACATTTTTTCGTGCAAGTCTATTACTTTTTCAAAAATCTTCTCTGAAACTACTCGGCCAAATACTTCCAAGCTTTAACTGAATGTTCCTTAGGGTATCTAGTTTATAAAAAAGTGTCCAAAGTTTTGATCCATCAACAAACATGGCCGCCATGGCTAAAAATAGAACATAGGGGACAAAGGCAGTTTTTGGCTTATATCTCAAAAACTACTACAGTTAGAGCAAAAGTGAAAGGGAGTTAAAGTGATAAATGGGTCATGATCTATCTGTCATGAAATTTTCAGACAAGTTCGACAACCCGTGGTTGGGTTACTGTTGGAAATAAGATTATTTTTATTAAATTTTACTGTTTTTGGTTATTTTCTTTAATATTATAAAAGATAGAGAGAAAGTATAAATGGCAATAAATTTTCAGCAAAGTAAGATCTACAAATAAGTCAACATGATCAAAATAGTCAATTGACCCATTGAGGAGTTATTGCCCTTAAAAATTTTTTTTTTTACATTATTTGTGAAAGTCTAATTACTTTTTTCAAAAATCTTCTTCTCTGAAACTACTTGGCCAAATACTTAAAAACTTTAATTGAATGTTCCTTAGGGTATCTAGTTTATAGATTGTATTTAGGGATTTGATCCATTCAAAAACATGGCGGCAGTTTCTAAAAATAGGACATAGGGGTCAAATGAAGTTTTTGGCTTCCATCTCAAAAACTAAAGCAGTAAGAGCAAAACTGACATAGGTGAAAGTGTTCAACAGGTTTAGATCTACCTGTTAAGTAATCTTCAGACCAATAGGACAACTTGGGTTACTGTCCAGAAATAGTTAATTTTTAGGAAATTTTACAGTTTTGGGTTATGTATTATATTTAATATTATTATAGAAAGAGAGAAAGTGTAAATGACAAAATTGTTCAGCAAAGTAAGATCTACTAATAAGTCAAATGCCTGAAACTGAAATTACAGGTGAGCGATATCAGGCTCTCATGAGCCTCTTGTTTTGTATTGCTGACCATCGTTTTCTGTTTACAGTTTCTCTCTATCTTCTGTAAATTTTCCCCAAAACAAACGAGTTAAAAAAAATAGCGTCATTTTAGGAAAATAACTCAAATTTCATCTTTGCTGACCTATTTGCAGATCTTATGTTGTTGGTCATTATTGCTGTTTAAAGTGTCTATCTATCGTTTTAGTACTAAAATAATGAACAGTAACACAAAAAAATAGTACAAATGTATGGAAATAACTTCTATAACGAATTGACTGAAACTTCGACCATGTTGATCTATTTGTAGAACTGTCCTGTTGATCTTTTTGGCTATTTAAATTTTTACCTATTTATTCTAGTTTTCAAGATAAATTTGATGCAATAGCAAAATATTTGTACAAAATAACATTTAAGGGCACCAACTACTATAAAGAGTTGACCAACAATTTCAGCAATATCGACTTATTATGTAGATCTTGTCTTGTGGATCATTTTTGCTATTTAACGTTTCTATCTATTATAGTTTCAAGATAAAAGGCAAAAACGCAAGACATTGGTAAGAGCA